AACACATGATCTTCCTATTCCTAAAAAGCAGGGACTAGGAGGAGAACTGATGCAGGGGTTGTTTGATGCCTTTTAAAAATTTAAGCTCATATTTTGGAGCTGGCAATGCCACCAGGGAAAGCTGCTAATTAAGCAAGTGGATTTTTCATAGCCCAGATCTTCATCATATTTATGTGTTAAAGTTCTTACTGCCAAAGCAATGTTCAACCACTGACTTCAAAAGGAGGATTTGTGGGAGCAGCAGGGTCTTTATTCTATATAGATTTTTAACTAACATTATAATTTAATTGAGAAACTGTGCATTTCTAACTCACTTTCCCTTTACAACATGTTCTTGGCTTGGATTATTCCTCAAAGTTTTCTTGCTCTTTCCTTAACTCCATTTACCATTGGGTTAAAAAAAAAAAATAAATAAGCAAAGGAACCCAAACCAAAAGAGGACAGCCACAGCTGTGCTCCTCATGATAGACAAGATAAACACAGACTGCTGTCTGGAACTGAGTATCCTCAGGAGCAGGAAAGTAAGGTGGGGAAACAATTTGCAAGATACCAACATGTTGGCTCCTGGACTCCAGCCTAGAACTGATCTGTTGGCCAACAGTCACTCAGCTTAAGTCCCTGGAACAGCACCATGTAATGGTGTTAAAGGCTCAGTGGAAATGCTGTGAGGGTGCAAGCACCACTGGAAGCCCTGCATAGACCAGGCTTTTGCAGGGACAGCTCTTTCAGCACCTCTCTCAAGCAAGTGCAGGTGTCAGGGACACTTTGGATGTGTGAAAAGCATGTTGTGAACAAACCAGTACTGATATCAAAAAGAAATATTTTCTTTTTAAAGGTCCATGGTATAAAGGTCTATGAAGGGTTCTTCATGAAGGTATCAACCCCCCTCATCTATTTTATTTCCCGTAGGATTTCTTGATACTTTTGTTTGCTGGATGAAGGGAACTAGTCCTTCCTTAGGAGACCAAACTGCGGATACAGCGTAGACATGCAAGAGAACAAGCTGACACAGCACAGCAGCTAAGGGTGTATCTCTTATAATTTACTGGAGCTCACCCTCCTGACCTTTCTGTATTTGGATCAGCAGGGAGGGTGGGTAATGAGGGCTGCAGAAGGGCAGTCGGGTTCTTACAGCTGGTCAGGCGAATTAATGCGAATTGCTTGGCAGTTCACCAAAAGCAGACCAATGAGGGCACTTCATCAGAAAAAAAGGAGAAAAAAAAATCTCGAAGGTGGCCAGTCCATGAGCGGAATTTGTCAGATTTCTAACCCACGGTAGAGGAGAACAGTGGCTCAGTGTTTCAGAGAGACACCACAGCTGCAGGCAAGTTGTGTTAGTCTGACACATTTCAGAAACCCTTCTGCTATTCCACCTTCCGCAGCTTCCTGCTTTGCCTTCCCTACATGTTTTTTCCCAGTGTCATTGTGTCCAGAGGGAGCAGAGAAATAGTAAACACCTAGCAAGGTACTCTGCCCTTCCTTAGCCTTCTAGACCACACTCATCACCAGCCATTGCAGAGGCAAGGGCTTTTGTAAAGGTAACTCCTGGCAGCCAGGTACTTTGAAAACCTTCCCTTCCACACTTCCTCCAATCAAGAGGCAATGCAAGTCCATGCAAATGGCAGAAATTTGGTTTATCCACTCAGCTCTCATGTTGACACTCTCACCTGACACTTTAATTTCTGTGGAGGTAGAAACCTGTTCTGTGTAGAACCTGCAAAAACCAGCTGAAACCTGTAAAATGCTGATATTTTTATTTTTGCTCCAACTAGCTTGGCTATGGCAATGCACGTGCTCTCCCTTCTTAATGCTCTCCATATGCTCTTCAAAGTGAAATGACTTTTCTGGCTGGTCATAGCTACTGGCTACTGACAAGCCTCTGAAACGAACTAGCAATGTTTCCCTGCCCTATCTATGGCTTGGATCAGGGCAGGGGAAAGCATCAGAGCTGCTGTGTTCCAGAAGGAGATGGAAACAGAAGTGGATCCCCTCAGGATAGGGGGAAACTACTTTCCCTCTGGTTTTTCTTCTGTAAACCATCTTTGCCACAACAGACAGCTCCCTGACCCGCCCCACTCCCCCTTATCTCCCTAGAAGGTACTTGCCTCCCTTTTGTGGGCCGTGGATGATCATGAGTATTTGAAACTAGTAGGAAGAAAAACCATGTGTGTGATTTCAGTATACACTATTCCAGAAAAGCTCAGGCATTGTACTGTTGGCCATCTCCTCATCTCATCAAAGTAGCAATTGGTGCTTCTGATTTTGACCTGCAGAGAGGCATAAGGGTGTCGTGAGCATCACACCTGCCTCGCATCCGTGTGTCCATCCCTCAGCCCCCAGCATCAGCACAATGGTCAGGGCCACTGAGCCTGGCTTGCTCTGCAAACAGCACTTCTGCATTGCCAAAATCACTACCCTTTACCAGACTGTTTTTATAACCTGCTTTTGGGGTACAGGTGTTAGAGCAAAGAGACTCATCACATGTAAATAAACAAATAATCACATCTGTCTGGTTTGAATGGCTGCACCCTCAAATGTGACACAGGATTTTGCAGTGCATGCTGCAATAAGATATTTAAAGTCTCATTTGAAACCTGTCAGCTTCCCTACTCCACAGAAGGGAGATAACAAACACCACATACTTCAAAGTGATGTTCTAAGGACTGAAAAGATGTTCATGTGGGGCTTTGAAAATGCACATAATGCACTCAGTTAACACTGAGACCCTATTTATTTGAAATTGTGCCTATTTGCAACTCAGCCTTGACCTCCCCTTGCTGCTGTGGGCCAGGGCACTGCTGGAGAGGAGGACACGGCTGCCTGGCTGCCCACCTTGGGAGGTCCCAAGCCCAATGGTCCCAGCAGCAACAGGAAAGGCCAAGGCTTCACTCCCACCACCATGTCCTCACCCAATGCCCAATACCCAAATAGCCATTGCCCAATACCCAAAGCATGGTCTTTGGAGAGAATACAAAACAAAGCCAGATCTCCGGGAAGCACAAAGGGACAGTGGGATTGGGATTGACCTTGGTAGCTGAGCCCTGTGGCAGGGGAGATACCTGCCTAAGTGGTTGCAGGCAAGATATAAATGTCACATATTAGGAGAAAAGATTATTCCATGTCCTATTTTTATGCTAACTACTTAAATGCATTTGGAAAGGAAAACACCAAATACCCAACGATGAAAGAATATTAAAGTTGAAAAGTCCTGCATGGCACCCACAGCTCTGCCAACACCTGGAACCCTGACAGCCTGCGGAAACATTTGGTTTTCTGCAGGACCCCTGGCTTCTTTAGGAAGTGGCAAGAGGTTTAGGACTTCCTTTCCACCTTTTCAGGGCTCACTGCTCCAGCCCCAGGTAGTCTGCAGAGCTGCAGGCCTTCCACAGGTATCCCACACAGCGAGTGTTTTGCAGGTATTACTGCACTTACCTCCCCAGACTTATGCAGTAGGTAGGAGACTGATGTTGCCTCATTTTGCCTTGGAAAAGAGATATGTGCCAGGACCAGGGTAAGTACCCACAAGAGCATACCCAGATTCTGAGATTTGAGGCACCTAGACCAGGAGTTTTGTAACACTGGTAATTTTTACCATGTTTTGAACATTCAGAGCACAGCTCCAAGTGTAATGAAGAGTATTCAGCACTTGCCACTCCAAGAGCACCCCATGAATAAGGACATTATCCAAAATACCTGTGCAGAATAAATGAAAAATCCTTTGGTGGGAAAACCAGCAAGCACTCACATCCCACCATGCATAAAGGAGCTGAGTTACAGTTGTACAAGCATTCTTGTTGGCGTTTCCTGATACCTCAGTGCTCAGCTGCAACACCAGTGGAGGATTTTCTCTGTGGTACCATCACCATCGAGTTCTGCTGCACCCACACCCACATCTGTGACAAGCCAGTGGTAGGAGACAGGGACCGTGGGGCTGAGCACAGCAGGGAGGGTGCCCCAGGTCAGCCGGAGGCAGTGGGAATGTATCTTTGCCGCAGCTTTGCTGGTGCTGCCATGCTCAGTCACATTTTCTCTGCAGCTTAGCATCACAGAATCGTTATTGCCACCGTGCTGTAACCGAGCCAACCTCAGGGTCATTAAGGTCGGAAAAGACCTCTGGTGACCTCACCATTACTTCGCAGTGCTGGAATGATTTACACATAGGACAGGAGTGTTTGATGTGTGACACTGACCCAGTCAGCTGGGCTTTTGGTACCAGCCCTGGGAATGCAGTGGAACCCCACTCAGGAGACCAGAAACAGTTGCTGGGCTGTTTCAGAGGTCAGTGTTCTCTTTGTCCTTGCAAATTTTTCTGCCCACTGCCATGTACGGGTTCTGTGCTTCCTGTTCACCTCTATGAATCCCTGGGCTTCCCACTGAAAACCCACCCAGGCCTGTAAGGATTTGTTTTCTTTTGAAGCACAGTGCACACCAGTTAAAATCTAAATCCCTTTATAAATGCAGATCAGCTCTTATATCTCCTATGCCTTGGCTGGACATATAGATAATCACTTGGGATGAGCTTGGAAGAGTAGCGTGAACCTCACTGCAAGCCCACAGATCCACGGTAACGGGACACTGGGTCAGGGGGAACCTCCGTAAAGCTTTTTGATGCCGCGGGATGATTCCGTCTGTATTTGGACAGCCCAACAGCCCACATCGGGGTGGCTCCCACGGAACCCGGCGCAGGGGGTACCCGTGTGCTCAGCACAATGGGTGCTGCCGACATTCCGGCCCAGTTCTGGGAAAGAGGGATGGGAAGCGGCGAGGCGAGGCACGGTCTCGCCGACAGCGCCTTCATGCGTGGGGCTTTCCTTTTTTTCTTTTCTTTTTTTCCCCCTCTCCCCCAAGTTGCCAGAAGGCGTCGAGTCAATTGTCTGCGGCGAATTCCAGCGGGGCCGGTGCCGGGCGCCGCGCGCGGGTCGCGAGGCGCGGCGCGGGGGGCGGGAGGGGCGGCGCGCGGGGCGGGCGCGGGGCGGCGCGAGGCGCGGGGGACGCGGGCGGGAGGCGGCGGCGGCGGCGGCGGCGGCGGGGTCGGCGATGGCTTTCGAGGCGCTGGCGGAGGCGGCGGAGCGATGGTGCGCCCGCACGCCCTTCCAGCTCATCGCCGCCGAGGAGACGGAGCGGCGCATGGACTTCTACGCCGAGCCCGGCGTCTCCTTCTACGTGCTGTGCCCCGAGGCCGCCTGCGGCGACAATTTCGTGAGTGCCCCGTGAAGGGATCGGGGGTCGCGGGCGTGCGGGGCACCCCCCGCGCCCGTGCGTGGACGCGCGGGGAGCCCTCGCGCCTCTCCGGGACGCTCCGTCCGTGCGGATCCCCGGAGCCCGGCGGGAGCACCCGAGGGGGAGCGCCGGGGGGGCGGAGGACGCGGCCGTGCCCCGGAGGGAGGGGGACGGTGATGGAGGGCGGTGGGGCCGGGGGCCGGGGGGATCCTCCCACGAGCTGCAAAATGGAGTCCGCTGCCGGTGGGGGGCGGCCCCGCGGGCAGGGCTGCGGGCAGGGACACCCCACCCCCCTCTTCCCCATCACCCGGCCCGGGGTGGCTGCGGGCTCCGGGCGGGCGGGGAGGAGCGGTGCGGGCCCCCCCGCCTGCCCCGCGCCCCGCGGGGGTAGCAGCTGCTTCTCTCCCCGCGGCCCCTCCATCCTCCCGGGATGCCGGGGCTGGGGCACGGCGCGGGGACGGGAGGACTGGCAGGGCTGTCACGGGAAATGGAGAATGGGCAGGAATAAAATGGAGTCAGGATGACAGGAGGGCCGCGCCCCCCCCCCGCCGCTCCCCCGGGCCCGCCGCGGGATCCGTGCAGGTGCCGGCCGGGCGCCCCCGCCCCGCCGCCCATCGCGGAGTTCAGCGCCGAGTTTGTGCGGGAAACGCTCCGGCACCACAACCACCTGGCTTTGGGAAGGATCAGGGGGTGCTTTTCCCCTCGGCCAGACCCTCCCGGTGGCGGGCAGAAGTGCAGGAAGAGTCGTGGAAAAGCGGCACCTGGCCACGGGGTTTGTCAGCTGCCTAGTGCCAGTTAACTTCAATGAAAGGATTTTGGTTTGCTTATTTTACCAGAACAGCTCCTAGCACCATTATGGTAGGAATGTCGTAGGTTCTTCCTTTCACGGAACAAGTTTCATCCCTCCTCTTGCTTGACAAAATGTTCCCTAATTCCCTTTCCAACAGGTAAGTGCAGAGTGAGCCCATTTGACAGATGGGTCTATGGAAACAAAGAGCAGTGGAGTGACTTCTCCAGGACCACAGATCCCAGCGAGCAGGACATTTATTTGTTTACTGTGTCAAGTAGATGGTGATGCTGAATTATGAAAGAAGTTATCTGGAGTTTAGTTACACATTTGCCCAGAGATTCATGAGACATTCAGATGTATCTCTTCAGGGGCATCTCAGGGTGTGGATTCTCTCAGTCCTCTATGGGAATAGCTCTGCATGTCCGTCTTCCCAGCACCTCTGAACCTGCCAGACCCTGGTGCTCGTTCCTCTCTGGAGATGCCTGTGCCCAGAAAGGGTCATGCCTGCAGCACTCCTAAACAGGAATATGTATGAATCCAGTGCAGCACTAGGCTAAAACTGTGGTTGGACACTAACAATATTGGAAATTGCAAAGAAAGTCCATTTATTTTCCTCAGACGTGTATTGTTTCTTTATACACTGCTCAATAATTGAGTGAACTCTTTCATACAAAGTCTAGTCAACTTCAAAAAAAAATCTTAAGCAGCTTCAGACCCTATTCCAATGCTGGCGCTTTTTTTTTTTTTTCCCCTTTTTTTGCATTTGAAGTCACATTTTCCCTTTATTTTGAAAATATTTTCATTCCAGGGGTGGTGTGAGAAGAGCTCCCTGCTCAGAGTCACCACTAGTAAAACAGAGCAAAGGGCTAGCTCCTGTCAAATCTGGAACATAAGCAGTGGAAAACTAGAAGTGGTGTTTTCTTCTGTCTTTTCTAGCCTTATTGGTTGAGTCACTTCTTGTAATGATAATACTTTTAAGACAGGCAGATAGGTGTCATTCTTAAGTCTTTTTATTTAAAGAGATGGTGTTTCTTTAATTTGATTAAGACCCACTAATGATTAGATTCTCCATCATCCTGTTTCCTTCTCCTAGTGCACTGTGGGATTTAATTTCTGCTCCCAGCTTGATTATCTTGTTTTTTTTGCAGTCTCTTTCCTTTTTTTTTTAATGTTCCAGAATATAACTTTGCTTTCTATGTGCAATAACAGGCTAAAGTTTATTTTAAGGAGACTTAATACAAGCCAAGGGACTAATTATCATTTGCACTTTAAGCCTTGTTGCATGGCTCCTTTAACACAGTGTGGAGTGTGAGAGTGAGTAAGTATAAACAGAATTCACAGTGACACACTTTTTACAGCCTTCTTGCACCCTGTGCCTGTTATAAAGGAGCCTCACATTTAATAAGCATCTGGTGTCTGGTATTCTTGTTCTTTCTTTACGTCTTCATTTCATAATGATGCGACTTAAAAAGCTATGTAGGAGGTGCCAGAGAATTCCATGATAACCCACTTGTAAGGAGGAAATGATGAGCATGATGAACTTAAAAGGAAAGAGGAGAGGAAAAAAACATGGAAAGGTTGCCAAGATGCAATCTGGGGGAGAAAACCACTGAATTTTGTCTAACATCACAGATCACAACAATCTGATACTTTTCATTTCTTAAAAGATATATTTAGGTTAGGCTTTTAACATGCTAGGGATGCAGGACACCCATGTAGATGCTTATTGGCGTTTTCGGTACCACCTGGACACTGAAACTCTGAATCAGCATTTTAGATAGCTGAACAATGTATTATTCAGCTCCTGATGCTCCTGAGGTTCTTGAGAAATTAATTGGACTAGTGTAGCTGTAATCAAGGATGGTGAGGGTTGTGATGCTATTCCTTACAGTCTGTCATTTGTTTAGTCACCATGTTATTCCTGGTATTCATAGTAACTGATAAAATAAATAAAAATATGATGCCATCTTGCTGCAAGATTTCCTGAAAATATTTCAGAACAGAGTCAGCAAGTCTGAATATTTTATGCAAGTCAAATTATCCCCATAAATAAAAAGTTTTGCTGTCATGCACAACAAGTGGGCTGCTTAGAAGAAGGTGGGCCAGCAAGTGATTCTATCATCCACCTATACTGAGTCATCTAAAGGTGTGAGGGAAAGCAAACCCCTCCAGATGCAGCCCTATTGATTTCCTCAGCTATGTGCTGATGCTGTGTAGATGCTGAACTAAATAATTCAGGCATGACCTTAGGTCAGCTGAGGTGGAAATTAGTGGCTGTGTGACACAAAGCGACTGTGAGCAAAACTTGGCAAGCTCGGAAAACACATACTCTGATGATGAGGTTAATATTTTTTTAATTGCACAGCCACAGCCAAGCACTGTGGTCCACCAGTTTGCCAGCAGCCACTTTCTCCCACTGCAGAGAGATCCTCAGGCATCAGGTTTTCCAGGAAAAGCATCTCCATATATGCAGCCTTACTGAACTTTCTAAGCAGGAGCTGAATCCTGAAATTACGCTTGTTTTTATTTTGAAAGGCTGAAATTCCTTTTCCAGGTTCCTCTGGAGATGGGTGAATCAGTGCTGTGAGACCATTCCTGCACTGCCTGAGTGCAGCACTGAACCACCACAGAGAGCTGTAGATGCAGCTGAACCTACAGGCATTTCAACCCTGGTCTTTATTATGGTTGAGGTTTTTGAGGGAAAAGATTAAATCAGCCCATTTCCGAATAAGATGTGTGCACTAATGGCACATGAAACTTTTTGTAGTGTGTTTGTTGCTACAGTCAGTATTTTAAATCCTTTGCAGATGGGGAGATTTTTGGAACTGTTACTTCCTAATTGTCGTATGATGCTATGCAAAAAAATCTCCTCAAAAGCTCAGTGATCAGATTTTTCTCTTAGGTTTTCCCCTTATGCTAGATCATCTTACTCTGCCTACTGCTGATGAATTCATGCTGGTCTCTAAAATGTGGTGCAGCTTGAAAAGAGACTGTAAAAACATGATAGGACAACACAGGGTTAACTTTCCCTGGGGAACGAACCAGCTATGATATATTAAAGGGCAAGGCCTGATTTTCATTTATGTGGAACCTCCTGTGTATAGCTATGGTAGTCAAAAGAAACCACAATTTAAACAAGAATGAGGATCTCAGCAGTCATAATTGTTTTATATATATAAACAATTGCAACAGGTTTAGCACCAGCCAGGAATTGCCAAGCTGCAACATTCAGCTCTGAAGTTCAGCAGTAACTAAACAGTTATTGCTAACCCCAAGTATGAAGAAATCATGGGCCAGGCCTCCAAAACCTTCTCCAAAGGCTGTTTTTAAAATGTGATTTGGAAGTGTTCATTTGATATGAGTGAACATGAGTTCACTTTGTGTATGTTCTGCCTTTTTAGGCCATAGAAATGACAAAGGGCAGACTTCTTTCCTGCTTTTTTTTTTTGTTGTTGTTGTTAAAAACAGAAGCTGAGATTTAGTTGTATATTTATAGGATTACAAGGCCCATGACTCTTAAGATGGCATGAAGTATCAGGAGACTTGTGGTATGTGCATTTGAGAGTTGGCAAGACTGTAAAGAACTTATTTTTATTGCCAGAATGGTTAAGCTGTGACTGGTTGTATGGAAAGAGCAGAACCTACTCAGTAATGCAGGGCTCTTTTCATAACAACATTGCACTATGTTTATGTTTGTAAAGTGCAACAAGCAGTAAAGAAAATGTAGGTCAAGTGAAGTTCATAGCAAAGCAGTTACAGGTTTTATCTTAAAGATGCAGTTTAGGTTATGTTAAGTACTGTTTTCTTTCATTAAGTGCAAAACTGTATCCCTGGCAGGTACTCGCCGCTGAAGAGGAAGGCAACATGCGAGCCTCATGCTAGGAATTGAAACATCTGTCGTTTTGAGTTTTTCCCTGAATGTTAGTCAAGCTTTGGAGAGATTGTCCTCTTCCCTTGTTTAAGCATAACCTGATGTTTATAGCAAGTAAAAAGGTACTTTGGGGAAAAGAGCTGCTGTGTTAAAAAAGAGGTGCAAGTCTCAAACCAGTTAGGCAGTATTGCACTTCTCTGTGTGGCAGGCTGCCTAACACAGTCCCATGCAACAAGTCTTGAAAGAGGTGTTTAAAATGATGCATTAGCTTGTGCCCTTGGCCACAGGAAGCATTGTTGCCTGGGTGCTCCCTCCATCGCTTGCCAGCTCTGTTTTGAACAACGTCCTAGCAGCAGAATAAACATCAGATTTGAGAGAGGCTTCACAGTGTAAGTCTGGGGAACCAGCATTTCCAGAGCAGGAGTAATTCAGAAGGATCTCAAATGGGTTGGAATGTGCCTGCCTGGGAAGAGAAGATTGGGTTCCAGGAGAAGTAAATCTAAAAACAGGGTGGGAGGCTCGAAGTGTCAGGATGCTGTGAGTGCCCAAACATCTCTCCTTGGCTCTGTGTCTAGCCTGCAGGCAGATTTTGCATCTTTTCTTCTGCATCGTTGAGAGAATTACACATCAAGTTCCACCTCCAGGGTCGCATCATATTTGCACTAACGCCAGGAAGACAAAGAGATGCTTTAGCTCTTCCTGAGGGCTTCACTGCAGCAGATGATGCAGAAAAAGAGAAAACCCGACATGAGTTCCAGGTCTGAGCAGGGCTGATGTCAAACAAAAGCACCTTTATAGGTAAAACGTGTGTGCGCCAAGTGCGTGTACCCTTCATGGTGCAGCCATGAGGCATTTCCGCTTCTGGATCAATTTCCCTGTTTTCTGATGCATCATGTTAATAAAATCCAGGTTCCTCCTCAGAAACATGACTTCTGAAAGAGCCTGCAATGCCTGTCCCCAGGGCGGGTCTGAACTGCAGGAGGCTGGGTGTACTTTGGCAGATGTTTACAACATGTCACCTTATAAAATCACATGGAAGGGTTGGCGTGAATTCCTGTTAATGCCTTTCCTTTCTTGTGTTGCTGTTGGCTTTCAGCACGTGTGGAGCGAAAGTGAGGACTGCTTGCCTTTTCTGCAGCTTGCACAGGACTACATTTCCTCCTGTGGGAAAAAGACACTCCATGAAATATTGGAAAAAGTCTTCAAATCCTTCAGGCCCGTAAGTGTGTTTTTTTCCTTCTAAACATTGACACATTACCTGTGACTTTTAATAGGACAGCACTGGATAGAGCAAGCTGTTTTTTCTTCTCCAGAGATTTACATCTTCAGTTAGCTGCCTGGGTACATGAGCTGGCATTGGATAGTAGGAAATTGTTTCCTGGAAGTCAACTGCCTTTTTATTTCCATCTCTGTGTTTGAGAGGATGAGATTCCCATGCAGGGTGGGAGGCCAACTGGTGTGTCAGCCAGTAGCAGCGGGCAGGGGCTTATGTCCTGCTGATGCAGTGCTGACTCCGAGGAACGGGATACGAGTCAGCGCCATAGGACTCTGTGGCAGAGTTGTTTCCTGGCACTGGAATTGGGGAGTTTTGCAAGGACATGAACAGCAAGAGTAAACCTCTGGGAACAGGAAGTATGGTCTCTCCTTAGGGTGGTTTATTTTATTTTGTGGTTGGTTTTTTTCCCCCCAAGTGATGCAGATATTAGGATGGTTGGCACTTGGTGTTTGCACATACTGGTTTGGTCTTCTTGAGAAGAAGTTAGAAGAGAAGCTGGGTTTTGTGGGGAGGGGGCCTGTATTTTTCTGTTTTGCTGCTACTCAGCTTTCTCTCTCCTTGTTTAACACCAAGATTTGGGCCAAAGTGCCTGGATTTCATCAGGGTGAGGTATCTTAGGCTGACTGTTGTCCTTCATTTTTACCAAATGCTCCCTTTACACAGCCTCTCCTTTTGAATGTTTGGGGCTGGCTAAGGGCTTGGTGCAAAGCAGGGCAAAGGTTTGTAGCCAGAGCCATCCTCCCATGATGTCCATGAGAAAGTTCACCAATGGATGTTTTTATACTCAACTGAGAATGTAGACCTTTTCCCTCCTGTCTTTTTCTGGCTGACTAATTGAGAAGACTGGAAATGTATCCCAAGTATTTAGTGTGAAAGGGAGGGCCTGGAGCACTGATATGAAAACACTGGCCTTCCCTGTGTTACACCCTTGCACAGAGCACCACAGCTGGTTGACATAAAAGAGCATAATTTTAAAGAATCCTTTGAGAGGCTAGAAATAAATAGAACAGATGCACACTTTTCTTAGAAAGGACTGGAAATCTGATCTGTCACTACAGCTGCTTGTAATTGTGAAAACATGCAAAAAATACAAGTATGTTTCCCAGAACAATATAGGGCTCTAGGATCCTCATAGCTGTCTTCTCCTGCTCAAGGAAGCTGTGCCTTTGATGAGAAGCTTCCATTGGTTTAACTAAGGAGAACTTCAGAAAGACTTAATTAAATAGGTGCAGATTACTCATTTCGTTTAAACCACATTTATTCCAGCATATTTTAAGTTGCTGAGAAATTGACTTCAAACCAATTGAAGTCAACCACGTCAAACCAAGTTGAGCTACTCTTCACAGCAAAAAGGTTCAAAGCAAGGGGAACCATTATGCTCATGTAGCCTGAGCTCTTCATTAGTATGTCCCATTTCACCTCATGATTCCCACAGATGACCATACAAATTGAGGTTGAACTAGAATGAGTCTTTTCCAAAGACACCCACTCTTGATCTAGTCTTCAGGTGACTTAAAGGATACAACACTGCTGGACTCTTATTATTCCTATGGCTAGTTACCATGCACTGAATAACCCTTTTGTTTATAATCTGCATTTTTCTAGTTCTGCTTCCTAGCTGTTAAATTTCATTTTGCTTTTGTTTGCTCAAACATGGTGTCCTCAATTGCCAGAGACATCTTGCAGACTATAATCAAGTACCTCTTAATTTTCTCATTGTTGTACTTGTACCACAGACACTAAGTTTCTCAGATTCTCCTTTGACCCAGTATTGAGAGATTTGCATCAGCATAACAAAACTGGGATTATCATTTGAGGTATGGCTGTTTGTAGACAAGTCTAATTAAGGAATGTACTGACATTTTTCCCTCATAGTAACTATTAAAAAATAGCACATACATGGGAGGAAAGATTTAAAAAATTGAATGATTTTACATTAGATGTATGGAAACAGTTATTTTGCACCCTCAGGCCTTTGCCAGAACAAAACTACTTTTCTTCAGTATTGGGGAATTATTTCCTTGGCATCACTTCATACTGTCTCCTGTTCTTTCTCTGCTGGACCCATTTTACTTATGAGGCCACCTTGCTGTCAGCTTCAAGGCAACAGTTACTTGCAGGGCATTTCTTCTCCTCTGTCATAGCAAATAATCTGATAGAGACCAGTCTGGCAAACTCCAGGTTAAAAAATGGCAGTTTAGGAAAAAACTGCAACTGAAGGTCCAACTGGGCTTCTCTGAAGTATCTGGTGGCCCTAGCTCTCAGTCTGGGACATTGGGCACCAGGTTTTTACCAGTGCTTGCTAAGCACCTTCTGAAAGTCTTCTCCATTTTGGTATTCCCAGCAGACATTCGTGATTAGACAGTTCTGAAATTCTTTGTTTGGGTCCTTTGAAGGGAAACATTTAGAAGAAAACAGTGGCAGTGCATCTGCAGCTTTCCATGCCCTTGTGCACAGCATGAGCATCTGCCTTCCCATAACTGAGGGCTCCAAAAACAACTTTTATCAGTAACTCAGCTCAGTCCTGCTCTGCATGTTCATGATAACAGCCCAGACATGTCTCTGTGAGCTTGCCCTGGGGCTGTGGAGTGGGAAGGGACTGGCTTCTCATGCTGCTGGGCCCTGTTCTGGAGACAGTGAGAACATGAATGCCCAGTGGTTGGCATCCATCTCAGTGAGAGACAGAGAATTCCCTCTGCTCATCAGTCTTCCTTGGGCACAGAAGGCAATGAGGGTGGTCTAGGTCTGCTCACTGTCCCTCACTGCTCTCAGGCATCTCTCCCTAATGTTTTATAGGCCTAAGCACAGTGCCAAGCAGGATATTTAATTAGATGAGGCTTTTTAAAAGTGTTGGTTTGTCTGCAACAACTAAACCACACTTCTAAGTCCTGCTGTAGACAAGGTCAAGGTGTTTCTTTACTGGGGGTGGTGAGGGTTAGGGTTGTATCGTTTCATCTCTGTTTTTAGAGACAAGGGGCATGTTGTCTCTACCCATTGCTGCCTTCCTGGGTTGGTTTCCACAGAACTTTGTGATTTGCCTTATTATCCACTTCTTCAGGGAGCATCCAGAAGTGCCAGACACCACGAAGATACATGATATCAACCAACAGCACTGGGCTCAAATACTGTTACTTGCCTCAGAGCATCCTGTCTCCTCCTGTTGCCTTGGTGTCTCTGGTGTAAGAGGTGCCATTCTCTGGTGCTAGGAGGTGCCCATGCTGGTGCTTTTAAGCATAAGCATATGCCTGGAGACATAGTCCTTCCCATAGGGATTCAACAGAACTGTGTTATCTCTAGTGTAGCATCACATGGACTACTAGAGCTCAGTCTTGTACTTGGTTTATTTTTCAGTGTGCTTGTGTGCCAGCTTTTAGTAGGAGACGGTGTCACTCTTCTTCCATGCATTAGTAACTGCAAGGTTATTTGTTAAATCAGGGCACTTTGAAAGGTTTAAGAAAGACAAATGTAAGAAATGCCTGAGGGACTTCACACCAACTGACAAAGTTTGCAGGAAACCAAGGCTTAAGTCATAGAAATCAGCAGCAAATTCCAGGGGTCCTACACTGATCTTCAAAGGAAGAAAGCCTACCTCTGAAGTGGGGAGTCTGCAGTGTACAAGCCATTTATTCCATATTCACTGTATTCATGCATGTCCCAGTGACCTCTCATTTACCTCCAGATGGGTAGTTTAGCCAGCAGAAATAAATAGCTGTAGTTCAGGCAATGCTGCTGATTGTTATCCTCCCTCCTTCCCTTCTTACCATGCCCCTGACCTCCTCCTAGCCATACATCCTTGCCTGGCAGTTTTGTTCCCCTTGGCTTTTCTGCTGATGGATCAGTTCTCTCTTTCTACAACAGTTTTCTGGTTTATATATTTTCTCCTTGTTTTCCTCTCCAGTTAAGTCCTTTGAAGTCTGCTGCATAGCTGATACTTTAATATATGAAGCAGCTGTGGACTAGAAGCAGAAACTAGTGTGTAGGAAAGAAGACAAGGTGGGAGTCAATCTAGGATCAGCCCAGGCCATCTTCATCATCTTACTTTGTTCTTACCTTTTGTACACCCTCCTTCTGTTTTGTCCCAATGTTTGTAGAGCTCTCTGCATTTTGGACCCTGATTGTCCCTCCTTGTATTGAAGGTGTGGGCTAATTTGTTACTGCAGTCCAGAGAGCAGTAAGGGGTTAACAGCAGTGAGGGATCACCATAGTCCTCTGGGAAGCAACAGGATGTGACACCTAAAAGCAAGACCTGCATGGTCAAGGTCCTTGGTGGCTTGGAGGGTCATAAAGTATCTGCAAGAGAATAAAACTGCATCTCTCTTTGGAGGAGTCTCCCATTCCATTCCATTCCATTCCATTCCATTCCATTCCATTCCATTCCATTCCATTCCATCCCATTCCATTCCATCCCATTCCATTCCATCCCATTCCATTCCATCCCATTTTCCATCCCATTTTCCATCCCATTTTCCATCCCATTTTCCATCCCATTTTCCATCCCATCCCATCCCATCCCATCCCATCCCATCCCATCCCATCCCATCCCATCCCATCCCATCCCGTCTCACCTCCATTCTTCCTCTGTAAAACCACTAAAGTCTACAGTATCACTCTGATTTACACTGTTCCCTCTGATTTACGCTGCTCCAGGGAAAAAGGAGCTGGATTTCCTGACGGTGAAGAGAGGGGATGTGTGAAAAGCAGGATGTACGCCCCATCCTTTGGGATTGTGTATGTCTTTGCAGTTATTGTGGTGCATGTTGTGTTTTCCATGCTAATTTTGCAATACAGTATCCCATAAAATGAAGATTCATGTGACTCATTTCCTTGCAAATCAAAGAGGAATTATGACCAGAAGTGGTCATAAAAAAATGCAGTCAAAACTCTTTCTGCCAGGTGATACAAACAGGAGTACAACACTCACATTTAATTTGAATATACCAGATTAGTTTAGCAAAAATAATACTGTTTTATAAGAAAGTCTAGAAAGAGTCCTTGATTTTGCCTTTGGAAAACTGAGTATTTTAATTTTAGCTTCAACATGAAATAAAACCCCCGCATCTTGAAAATGAACTGAGCAGTTCATGTTCAGTTAGGCATTTGATTTGAAAAATATGTATGCATAGGGACAATTACTTTATTCTGCTTGGAAAACAAGAACGTTTTCCATTTGGGGTCTCTCCATAAGTATTTTTAAAATGCAAAGGAGGGGATTTAGTCAGCAAATTCTCCTTCTGTTTCCCTGCCAAAGCAATCCTGTAACTAAAAATCTCATTTTCTCCCAGTGACAGGGAGGAATACAAGCTTCATTGCACTCAGAAGCTAATTCTATGCCTTGTATTTATGTCCACTGAATAATTTTGAATGTCGATCACAGACTGAATTAGTTTAGGTCCCTGAAAATCTGCCTCATTGCAGCCTTCTCATTTCCATGCTCTCACCTAAAGAGTGTCACTCTCCTCACAGTTTTTCTGGGCTTTGCCTCTTTCAAGAGCTAACAGCTGCATCACTCTCCAAAGAGGGTGTTACATGCATCTGTGCTGCTCTTCCAGCCCTGGCAAGCTAAATACATTATATTCTCAGTAATGCCTGCCTGTGATTTTGCTTTGTGGCTATTAATAGCTGTTAGTGTAGGAATCTGAGATTTCCACAACAGATGCATTATTTTGACTGTTACTTGGTTTATCTGTCTTCCTGACTTCTGTTGGCTTGGCAACCTTTTGGGGGAGAGGGGAGAAGTTTAAACATGGCTGTTTGCTCCTTTTCCTGTACTGAAGAGGTGATGTTGCAGTGGTCAAATCCATCAGGTGGAGGCATCTAAACATTGTCCAAAGAAGAGGGGCTGGCAGTTCCTTGGAAGCCCAAATCTAATTTGCAGAAGTTTAAAGGGACAATATTTCAGTGGAATACGCAGTATTTTTTACTGCAAGGGCTTCACACAGCATGCAAAACTTTGTCTGGTGTGATGGAATGAAGGGTTCAAGAGAAGCACTTGACATGGTGGATTCTTTAGAATTTCAGGGACTCCTTGCCTACTCCACACTAGCCAGTCCTTCTCAAGGATGCTTTCTTCTTTGGCTTTTATAGGGCTGATGGAATACAAACTTAAACCAAGACAACTACTACAGTATTATCATGGTTCTTTCTGAAGTTAAACCACTGCCAAGTCTAAACACTCAACAATTCATAATGTGACCTCAGGGAAGAATGTAGAGCTTTTTGCAAGTGCTTTGTTTTGGTTTTATTTATCTTCCGGTCTCTGAGCACTTAATTTGGTGTGAGGATGCATTTTCAAATCTTTCTTTATCCCAGAAGGGAGAGAAAGAGAATCAAGATCATTATTCAGTACTGTTATTGCAGTGTTTGAGGTTTTTAAGAAGTGCACGTAGGATTTGTGTGAAGATTTGCAGCAAAGCTGCACGCATGGGTAATTCACTGTTACACAGTGTTTTCTCTTCTTTGTAGTTACTTGGGCTTCCAGATGTTGATGATGATGCATTTGAAGAATATAACGCAGATGTGGAAGAAGAGGAACCAGAAGCCGATCACCAACAGATGGGTGTCAGTCAGCAGTGATTTTCTGAGAAGCTATAAAAAAATTTGGAAGCCTTTGGTACCAGGTGGGGTCAGGTGGTCCCACGTTAGCCTGTTTGAATTAGCACATCACAAGGGGATATCTGGCTGCCAAGATAAAAGTTTTACAACAAATGGTTCCAAAAAAATAATAATAATTCATGATGAGCTTTGCTAAGAAGTGACCTGAATTTTGCTCCTGCTTCAGTGGGTTTTCTATGGGGTTGTCTTGGTAGCATTCTGCCGTTATCAGTCTAGAAGTAGTTTTGTCGCTGACTTGTCTCTTCGATTTGTGTTCGAGAGTAGTGTTTGCTGACATGAATGTAGAGTACCGAGAATGTAGGAGGTGTGTGGGAAGAGTGCCCAGTCCTCACCAGTGACCTTTCCAAGGAAACCAGCACAGTGAGCAAACACATCCTGCGCTTCTCTTTTTAGTTCAACAGCTCTAGGTTTTTGACAAAGTACCAAACATGGAGCGACTTCTCCTGAAAAACAGTAGTTTAGTAGTGGTTGGTGCTGCAGAAGTACATATGAAGGCTTAACAAAAATAATGGGAAGCAGGAAATCCAGGAGGTGTCACACATATTGATGTCATTTCACTGACACCTGAGTTTCCAAGTGCTGAATTAATAACTGGGAGTAACTGGCACCAGCAGCACACATTATAACCAACTGATATTCCGACACCATGTGATCCAAAGGCAAGTGCTGCTTTCTTACAACTCAAGTAAAAAATAGCTATTGCCTATCCCACTTCTGCATGACAACTAACTTTAAGCTTTGCTGGTTTTGATACACTGCCAAATTATTACTCAAACCTTGTGGCATCATGCATTAGAACCATAGAATCATAGAATACGCTGAGTTGGAAGAGACCCATCAGGATCCTTGAGTCCAACTCCTGGCCTTGCACAGGATACCCCAAGAGCCACAGAGTGTGGCCACACAGTGTGCCTGAGAGCATTGCTCAAATCCATCTTGAGCTCTGTGAGGCTTGTGCTGTGGCCACTTCCCTGGGGAGCCTGTTCTGGTGCCCAACTACCGTCTGGGTATGGAACCTTCTTCTGATATCCAACCTAAACCTCTCAGTTTCAGGCCATTCTCTCAGGTCCTGGCACGGTAATAAGAGTGAAGAGATCTGTAGCTGCCCTTGTTCCCCTCCTGAGGATGCTGAAGACCACAATGAGGTCTCCCCTCAGTCTCCTCCAGGCTGAACAGACCAAGTGACCTCAGCCACTCCTCACCAGGCTTCCCTTCCAGATCCTTCACCATCCTTGTTGCCCTCCTCTGGACACTCTCTAATAGTTAAATATCTTCTTTACATTGTGGCTGCCAAAACTGCCTCCAGCACTTGAGGTGAGGCTGCCCCAGTGCAGAGCAGAGCAGGACAATCCCTTCCCTTGCCTGGCTGCACCTGATGGCCCCAGGAGATGCTTGTCCCTCCTGACTGCCAGGGCACTGTTGACTCACATTCAACTTGCCATCAACCAGGACTCACAGGTCCCTTTCCACAGCGTTGCTCTCCAGCCTCTCATTCCCTGATCTTTACACACAACCAGGGTTGCCCTGTCCCAGGTGCAGAATCCAGCACTTGTCCCTGTTAAAACTTCATACAGTTGGTGATGCCCATTTCTCTAATTTGTCGAGGTCTCTCTGCAGGGCCTCTCTGCCCTCCAGAGAGTTGACAGGTCCTCCCAATTTAGTGTTGCCAGTGAAGTTAATATTCCTTCAAGTCCTGCATCCTGGTTGTTAATGAGATGTTGAAGAGCACAGGGTCAAGTATGGAGCCCTGTGGTACCCCACTGGTGACAGATTGCCAGTCTGATGTCATCCATTCACTGTAACCCTTTGTGCCCAGCCAACCAGTTGCTCACCCATCTCATGACATGTTTATCCAGCTGTCTGCTGGACATTTTGGTCAGAAGGGTATTTTTGATACAGTATCAAAAGCTTTACTGAACTCCAAATATATTACTTCAACTTGCTTCCCTTGATCAGTTAGGTGAATTACCTTGTCATAAAAGGAAATCAGCTTTGACAAGCAGGACTTTCCCTTCATGAAGCCATGCTGGCTGTGACCAGTGACTGCATTGTACGCCAGGTACATATATATCATTCCAGAATAATATTTTCCATTATTTTACTGGGCACTGAGGTGAGACCAACAGGCCTGTAGTTTCTGAGATCTTCCTTGAGTGCAACTTGAATGCAACTTAACACTGAAGCCATAAGGGTATCAACCAGCACCTGGTTCTTAAAATTATGCTGGACCTCTTCCTGGGCCTTTGAGCTAGTCTGGGCATTTACACCTTATTGGAGGGGAGCTGAAATAGTGCTTCAGCTGCTATAAAATCTAGTGAGGTTTTACTTATCAGGGGACTTGCTCCCCAAAGGGTTTGGTGAGGGTCTTAGTATGAAGAAGACAACCCCTCATATTTTTTACCTGTTTTACATAGTTGCAAGTAACTTGGATGAGTGCCGGACTGTGAACATGCAAGGTTTCTTTATCTACTTGCCTTTTGTACTGAAAATATAAGAAGCAAAAGTAATTCTGTTGTAATGCAGCTGTTTTCCATAATCAAGAAAGATGTTTCTAAATTTCCTCCTTTTTTTTCCAATTTTTTAAAAATTGTGAAACGAAGGTCACAGGCTTTAAAAGCCCTTTTATACAGAATTAGCTTTATAAAAACAAAGAGTGAGTGAAGAGAATATGCTTGGACAACTCCTATAAACAACTTGCATCATTTTGAAAACCCCGTTGTTAATGATATCTCCTTTTCAATAGATTTTTTAGAGACTCTTTTTCCAGGGTTACTAAAGAGAGCAAGTTTTCTTGATGGTTTACAATTATGATGGTGGCTTGAGAGACGCATAGCACATGATTTTTTCTGTCAGAGACAAAGATCTTCCATAACTGGGACTGTGTTTGTTACCTGAGTCTGCACAGAAGTGTCTGCAACACTGTAAAAGAGTTTAAGAATATAAAAAAAAAAAAAAAAAGGAAGAGAAACAGAGCTTAATGCAACTTTGTACATTCTTTCAGCATGCAGGCATAGACATGGTAGTTGCAGCACCTTTTCTATGGACTAGTGACATGAGAACTGTGGCAGTTCACTGTATAACACTGTACAGCAGCAATAGGCTTTTCGCTTACTGAAATAAAATATAAGACCAGTGGTTTCCATCCCTGCTTTAAGCCCCTAAATTTTTCTTTCTTCTCCAGCTTGGACAGATGCTATAACCTTAAACAGAACCTTCCTTCTTCATAGCATCCAACCCTTGGGTTATGGCTCACAGAAGTAGATCTTATGGGGCTGACTTTCCTCTGTCTGCTCTAGTGTAATGGCAAGTGAGCAATTCACAGTAGTGCAAGCTGGAGACAAAGTCCTACTGTTCAGGTTTGCTAGGCCATTTGTTTGAGGGGCAGGTGGCTGGCACCAGTGTGCAGGTGCAGGCACCCCCCACACACTTGCACGGTGAGCTGGGCTGTGAGCCCAGCCTGACCAGGACACAACCCTCTGCCTTTTACAGACAGGCAGACTTCCAGCTGGATTGGTCCCACCATCTGGCTCAGCGTGTGGCTGCACAGATGAGTGCTGGCACAGCAGAGGGGAGGGTGCAGGGTGGACATGGGTAGTAGCTGAGGACCTGCTGCTAAATGTGCTTTGCATGGTGTCAGGGGCCTGTGGCAGAGGTGTGGACTGGCCTAAATGCTGTGAGGGATTGACTCCACAAGACTCAGTGAGAACTGGGCACTGGTGGCAGTGGGATAGGTAGGAATTAACGAAATGAGGAAAGACTAAGATCCAGTGCTTGTAATTGCATGCAGGAGGTTGTAATGTGTACTGCACTCTGCTACCTTTCCCTGCATATTGATTGAATTGTTAATGAGCGGTTGAGCATTAATACAGTTGCAAGCAAACAACACTGTAAATTATGTAGATATATTAATATTATTATTTTCTGTATTCACTAACTCACTTTTGCTTTGGAATGTCATATGCCATTTGAGTGACTTCCACACAGATTGCAAGTGCTGGACAGCCAGCCCTTATGCAGCACTCTCCCTTGCAAAACTCCCACTGAAGCCAGTGAGATTTTGTTCAGACAGGACCTGCAGGATGAGGGGTTGTGTGAGGCTTGGTCCTGCAGAAAGCTCAGTGCTCTCATTTCCTCCCACTTTGCTAGGAGCCGAATGTGTTGAACCCTGCTGCTGAACTGAAGCATGACCAGGCAGCACTGAGAATAAACTGGAATTTTATACATAAAAAATTTAATTTACATGTAATAAATGTGAATGAGCACTAATATAGAATGTATTTTATCAAAAAATATTGATTCCCTACTTTGACCAAATACATTTCTGTATTACTGTGTTACTTTTTCATACTTGCCAAATGTTGCAAGAGGTGTGGAACTGGTTTGGTTGTACTACAAAATGTTTTTGTATTTCATTTGTATTTTATTTTTCCCTTCCTCCTACCACATATTGCAGTTAGTAGCCATTCAATAATTAATCAGGAGTAGCATGACCCAGTGACTAGGCTGCCAGACTGAGACACAAGATTTGCCAACACATGCATAAATGCTTGCAGACCTGGATATTTGGTGATATGTGGGTTTGTAGCTCTGCCATTGCCTTGCCCTGCGCTTTAGGCGGGTCTCAGTCTCTGAGAATTCAGGGCAGGCTTTCAGTTCTGCATGCAGGCCTCTGGAAAATTGAGCAGGAGCGGGATAAGTCCTTTGAGAGTCCCACCTTTGTAAAAGGGACTGTTATTTGTCCAGCAGCATATATAGTGCTTTAGGTCTGTGGGTGAACAGAGATACCACTGTCATTGCCTATCCTCAGAGCAAACCAGTAATGAAAGGACACAGAAGGGTCTTCCTTTTCCCTTGGCCTTCCTCATAGGCATTTCATGCTCCAACTAAATATAAATACAGCAGAGCAGAGCCTCTTGCAGAACTGGTGCTTCTGAATGTGAGTTGCATGAATGCAAACAGCAGAGTGCTGCTTGGGCAATGAGAAGTACATGGGATGCCAGATGGAAAGGCAGATTTCAGAACTGTTATGAGTGCAGGGGCAAGAGTGAACAAAGCCCCTTCAGAGAGGGAGATGCTGAGGTTTCTGAGACAGCCAAAGCCATCCTGCCAAGTATCTGCATAGTGAACCGTGTGCATGATGACCTGAGCCCTTACCAGACTTCAGCTCCACCTCCTGCCCTGCTTCTGGCTCTTTTCCAGGCAGTTTCCCTCCATGCATAGTGCTGTGCCTTTGAAAGTCTCATTCTTGTAAGAATGCCACTTTTTCTGGGAATAGCCATAGTTAGTTTTCCTGCATCAGTGACATGCATGTCTGCTGCTGCATCTTGTCACTGTGTCCCATGGAAGGTGCTGTGTGAGATGGTGGCTGGGGGCAGCGGGGAGGAGTGTCTGCTGCAAGGTTCTGCTGAGTAGAACCCTGCCATTTACCCCTCTGCAAGGTGGGACATGAGACTGTGACAGTAAAAACAATTGCAATACCATTGTGGACATTATTTTGGAAAGCTGCCATTCAGGACATATTCCCAGCCTCTTTCAGCATCTTTCCTGATCTTTGGGATCCAGAGCTGATGTCAATGACTGTTTCACTCAGTATTAGCTTTAGCAGTGGCAGGAGGTGAGGATGCATCTTTACCCTGTGTCCATCCTTCCCTCCTTAGCGTAGTCTTCTCAGAAGTTCTTACTCTCAGAAGAAGGGAAGCATAGGAAGGAGGAGAGAAACAACTCTTTACCTCTCACAGCTTGTAGGCAGGTGTATCAGTGGATCTGCAGTTCAGAACAGTGTGAGTCACACTGTCCTTTCTGTACAGGGGGATTAGATGGCATGGGAGATGTCTTATCCCTTGAGGACCTGTGGGTGGTCCATGCCAGACAGGGGTTGTGCAGAAGACAGCAGTCATTTTAGGTGCAGAACCTAGTTTCTTTTCACAGGCAGTTCTGTCTAGCCAGATAATCCAGTCTCTGAAAATCATAACCCATTGAGGCTCTCCAGGTTGGGCATCCAGAAAATGAGACTTGTCTGGTTGCCTTGGGTACTGGGAGGTCTCTTTTTCAGTGCTGGCTGGTTTTGGTCTGGCCAGAGGACATGGGAAATTGGGAAAGATCCCTTCAGGGGCATTAGCTGGATGCCCTTTTCTGTAAATTGCTGAGCAGAGGCAAATGCTTTGTTTTATGTGTTTAATTCTGGCAGGACCTCCCCTCCTCCCCAGCAGCCTGTCTCTGCAGACAGCTGCAGCTGGGAAAGCTTTGTGTGAGAGCCAGGCAGGAGTGACTCAGGGCAGCAGCTCCTAGACCCTGTAACAGGCTGGACTTGGGGTCATCCTTGCAGGGTAACAATGGAGCTGAAGGCTCAGGACACATCACTTCCAATGCAGATATTTAAATGGAGTCCTTAAATTTGATCCATAGAGGGCAGACCCTGTCACTGGGTTTTTATTGGACTTCTGAGACTTACTTGCACTGTTGGTGTCTGATATCTGTGGCAGGTGGGCAGGGGAAACCTGTTCACTTAACCACGTTTACTTGTTCAGTGAGCCAAATAGTCTTTTACATGATCTGTGTTTGATTTTTTTTTTATCATTGGTGACTTTTTTTTTTCAAGAAAGACAGTCCCTAAAGACACACCCACATTATTGCAAACCCCAATTAATACAGAGCTGAGTAGCACTGCACTGTCACTATGAGCTTGGATATAAAAAAAAATACAGATTAATGAAAAGGGCCTTCATTTGTCTACAAGAAAAAAACCCCAAACTTCTTTGAACTAGTTATTGCTGACTACAGTGAAACTTACTGGTTTCATGTAAAATACATTGAACTTTGAAATTCCCTTTCTGTACCAACATGCTGTTGCTCATGTAGGCTAAGATCTGTGGTAACACTGCATGTAAAAGAAGCTTTCATCTTCAGGGGTGGTGGTGGTGGTAGAAATGTCAGCTCTGGATTTCAGTCAATGCAATTCTTTTGTCAAGTTTTCCTTTACTAATGCAGGGACTAGTCAGCCCTCCACACATCAAGCAGAAATCATGTGCCACACCGTGCCAAGGCTGTCTTTGGTTTGGTTTCCACCATTTTTCTGGCTGGAAGACCTATCTGTCTTTGGGACTATAAAGCTGTGAAAGGAGTCAGCAAAAGAAGTTGCCCTTTTGTTCAGCACTTTGAAAGGTATAAGCCTTCAGTGGAGCACTGCCTGCCTTCTGATTCTCCTTCCTCTGATACTCATCTACCACCAAGGTGTTAAATCCAGCAGTGTCATTACACCATGAGCTTCCCATTAAAGAGCTTACCAAACTTTGATGACTGATGGTGTCTTTTCTCTGTGAACAAAATCAACTCAGTTGTGAATCTAAGGGGCTACAACACAGCTACAATGCACGTGGCACAGGCTTGACTTCAATGGGATAAAACAGTGTTTACAGGTGTAAGGAGGAGAAAATTATGTCATCTGAGATTTGGGCACTGCAAAGCCAGTCTTGATGGACCCAGAATTATCAGGTGGTTTGGTTTGGCACAGTCTGAGGCAGTGGATTTGCTGTCAGAAGCCAAAAATTGTTGTGTGTGAGCCAGTATTTTAGACCTCACAGGTCCTTTTCTGTTTTGCACAGAATGAGGAGACATCTGTTCCAAATAAGAGACATGTAATGATGCTGAGATGAAAATGGTGATGCTGTTCAAATTGTCTCTTTTCTTTAAACACTTCACTCCTAATTGCCGC